GGTAACTGCATTCCGTGTCTAGTTGCACTGGTCACTTGACCACAGAATATTGTCTACAGACAAATCGGCTTGGAAACGGGGATGAACACCACCCCCTAGAGTTGGACACAACTGGACTAATTGTCAAGGGGAACCTTTACCTTGGTGGGGGGATAAAATATATATATATAAATTTTAAAGGCTTTTTGAAATGTGAAAGCCAGTTGTAACCTGTAAAGTTGATTTGGGAATGATTTAACTGGAAAACATCAGAACTACTGAGACAATTGCCAGATTTTGCCTCTGGCACCAGCATAAATGATGTTTCTACTGATGGCTGAGCTGTGCTCTGCCATCTTCATTTCCCTTCCCAATTGTCAATTATGTTTGGGCAAGGAGAGTGTGGCTGGTGAGTTTCTTGACACAACCAACAGCATTAGAAAAAGAAAATTAAAAATGGAGAGCAAATCTAGTTTCAAACCAGCAACACTCCCCAATCACGGAGAGCTTTGCCTGGCTCATTGGTTGGACAATGCTGAATACAGTGGTGCCTCGCAAGACGATGTTAATTTGTTCTGCGAAAATCGCTGTCTTGCGAAAACATCATCTTGCAAAATGCAGTTCCCCGTGGGAATGCATGGGGGGAAAATCATCATCTTGTGAAAATCGTCCATAGGAAAACCATTTTGCAAAGCATGGACCCAACTGTCAAAATCGCTGTCTTGCGAAAAACCATCCCTAAAAAACCCGTTTTGTGAATCGTGGACCCAGCTGTCAATATTGTCATCTTGCGAAAAACCGTCCCGAAAAAAAGCCATCTTATGAAGCACGGACTGAAACATCATCTAGTGAAAATTGCCCATAGGGAAAACTATTTTGCGAAGCTCTATAGCGATCGCAAAAACCCATCGTTTTGCAGATTAACCGTTTTGCTATGTAATCGTCTAGCGAGGCACCACTGTATATGTATGTGCCAATTTTATACAGCCAGACATGGGAGGTCCCTGTCAGAAGTGAAAATGGGGGAAAGAGGTGGCATTTTCTATATTAGTACAGGAGAGGATCATAAATCATAGAATGAGTTTTTAAAGAAAAGAGAGATAGGGTTTTCAAAATGAGTCTGGGCAGAAATCTTGGTAAGCTCCATGTGGCACAAAGAAGGAACAATCCCTGATCCTTATCTGGAGGAACCCTTAATAATCAAAAAAGAAAGTTCAAACATGGGTTTTAAACAAACATATTTAAAAGTATTTTTGTATATTATGTAAATTGGTATCTATTGTTAGTATTTTTACTGTAAATTATGTGACATTTTCAAGGATGCTTATGGAGGAATATTGTAATCTATATCTAATCCGACTTCCAAATCTGTGCAAACAATTATAGCTAGCCTTCCTCTCCTGTATGACAGCACATATCTTTAAATGGGCATATACCCACAGAAAAAATGCAGCTCAGCATTTCATATATTTCTTGACATTCCAAAACTGCAAATTAATAACAATCAGAGTATTTCACAATCACATGGTGATATTGGTATGAGATTTGTAAGCAAGCAGTGAAGCTTTTGCTTTATTAGAAGGTACATCTTCAAATATTTCTTTCTGTTCCCAAGATGCAGACATTTCCTGGATCTTGCTGAGTAGTTAAGCATTGAGTATAATGAGAGAGGATGTGAACAACAGGCCAGATGACATTGTGTGATTCTGCTGAAGGAAGTCCGGTATTTGATATTTATAATCTCAGTATGTTGTTTGTTTGAACTTTGATAAGAACATTATTAGTGTTCAGAGCAAACCACAAGGTGCGTTGAAATCCAGAGACAATGTTTATGCATCTTTTGTGTGCCAGAAAAGTTTTTAAAAAAACTCAAAGAGGCAAGGGAAGATTTGTATTCTAGAACAATCACTGTATGACTCTTGCAATGTTAAATGACGTACTTCTGCACCATTCAAAATGGTGCAGAATAAAATGGTGAAGCTGAATAAAAAAGGGGGGTCTTACTGGGACAAATGGTGCACAGGGCAAAATATATTAAAATATTTTACATAATGCACTTTGAAAAAAAGTTAACTATCCTGATATTCAATAGAAATCTGGCTTCCTTTAACTTGAGTCCACTGATGCATGTCCTGCAGTCTGGGATGATCAAGAACAGATATTGCCCCTCCTCTGTATGACAGCCTTCCAAGTACAGTGGTGCCCCGCATGACGACGATAATCTGTCCTGTGAAAATCGCTGTTTAGCAAAATTGTCGTCATGCGAAAACCCTTTCCGCATTGGAATGCATTGAAACCCAGTTTAATGCGTTCCAATGGGGAAAATACCTCGTCGTCCAGCAAAGATCGCCCATATGGAAGCCATTTTGCGAGTGCCGATCAGTTGTTAAAATGGCTGCCCTGAGAACCATGGGTCCGGAAAACACGGGGCAGCCATTTTGCGAAGCCAAAAAAATCGTTGTCAAAAGCTTTGCTGAAGTCAAGATATAATACGTCTACAACATTCCCTCTGTCTATCAGGGAGGTGACCTGATCAAAAAATGAGATCAAATTAGTTTGGCAGGATTTGTTCTTGACAAATCCGTGTTGGCCTGTAGTTCCCAGATTCCTCTTTTTTGCCCTTTTTGAATATAGGGACAACAGTGGCTCTCCTCCAGTCCTCTGGCACCTCCCCCATTTCCCATGATTTTAAGAAAATAAGTTCTGAGAGTTCTCCAGCCAGTTCTCTCAGTACTCCAGTACTCTCAGATGCAGTTCATCTGGCCTTGGAGATTTGATCTAATTCAAGGTGGTAACGTATTCCTTGACTATTTGTTTATTAATCTCCAGCTGCAATCCTGTCCCCCCCACTTGCACTTTCAATTTGTTTGGAAGTTCATAATCTGTCTTATGGGAAAAGACTGAACTAAAATAGGAATTGTCCTCTGTTATCATTTGCCCATCTTCATTGCAGAGCTGTGCCACTATGTCTTTTGTTTGTCTTTTGCTACTCACGTACCTGAATGTTTTTTATTACTTTTAGTGTCTCTAGCTAACCTCAGCTCATTCTCAGCTTTTGCCCTCCTAACTCCATTCTTGCATTTCCTTGGTACTTGTCTGTACTCATCCTTGGTGGCCTGGCCTCTTTTCCACTTCCTATGTCATTTTGTTTTACAGTGGGGTCTTGACTTACGAACGGCCTGAGTTACAAACATTTTGACTTACGAACCGCTCTCATAGGACAATATTAACTTGACATATGTACTTAGATTTGAGTTACGAACTGAAAAAAACACGTGGGAGGCAGGGAAAGTGCAAAATTTGAACTTTTAGTTAACTGTTGGCCAGTGAAAAGGGTGCCTGTCTGCTTCCTCACTCCTCCCAGCGTTTAGAGAGTGGATTGGGAGACAGTCTTCGGACTGCCTGGTACTGTACTGCCTGGACTGTATTTTCCCTGCCTTCCCTGAACCTTTTTTGACCTAACGGAAAAAAAAATATCCCCCTCTAGTGTTTGAAGGCGGAATAACAGCTTCCCATTAGTTTCTATGGACGGAAAAGAGCAGATACGGATCAAATGGTTCTCAATGCATTCCTGTGGGAAATGCAGATTTGACCTGAGAACTTTTTGACTTGAGAACCGCCTTCCAATACGGATTAAGTTCTCAAGTCAAGACCTCATTGTGTTTTGTTTTGTTTTGTTTTGTTTTTAGGTACTCCTTGAGCTTTTGGTGAAGCCACCCTGGCCTTTTTGCCACCTCTCCCCCCTTTTTTTTCCTTATTGGAACTATTTGTAGTTGTGCCTTTAGAATTTCTTTTTTTAGAAGCTCCCACCTTTTTTGGACCCCTTTTCTCGTTAGGATCTCCTGCCATTTTACATTACTTATCCTTGTTCTGAGATTATTAAAATTGGCGTTTTAAATGAATGAATGAATGAATCAATGAATCAATGAATGAATGAATACACAGAGAGAGAGAGAGACATACAGACATTCTTGCCTGGTTTTGATTTACATAAGTAATATTTGGTCACCATTTTCTGTGATTGGAGTTGTCAGTGTGATTCCCAGCTGACTGATCTATGATTTAAAAACTAAAATCTGAGTGCAAATTAATAAAATGTGAATAAATCTTCCAGCAGAAGAGGCAAATATTAAAAATTTTAGAGACCCGAGTTTTATTTGAAAACATTAAGTTAAAAATAAAGTTACAATTTTGCCTATAGTTTTAAAAAATTATTTCTGCTTTCCTAGAATCCTACTTTTTTGTATATAAAATAATATGTAATGAATTTATGAGTGTCATGCTCTAACAACCTCCAGATGTTTTGGGCTGCAACTGCATTCACACCAGCTAGCATGACTGCAGTGGGAGAAGTAGTCCAAAGAATATGGAGGTCAACAGGTTCAGGAAGGACAACTTATTTTGCTTTCAGGTGCGAAGTGAACACTTGAATTTCAAAAAATCTTTTGATCTCTAAGATGTATTCCTGCATGCAACTCAGAAATATTTTTTCAATTTCATCTGCAGTCCCACATTCTTTTGATTGATTGTACATAATTGATAACTTCTATTTGAAGAAAACATTTCCATCTGAACACAAGTGGTTCCCACTAAGTCTCCAAACACACATGTAACTTGTGTCAATGATAATGGGAATAACCTGCACTCTGGGGGGTGGTCAAATTATAGTGTAGGTTATTCTCATTTGTTTTGAAAGCCTGATCAAATTTGTAAGGATACTTAGTTTTCTCCTATAGCATCACAGACTTACATGATACTGTTTCTTCTCTTTTTCCTTTTTGTGTGTGGAAAGTCTCGTTTTTAGACCTAGCATTAATAAATCTCTAATTCCCATGGTAATAAGTGACCAAGTCCATAAGAAACATCATTTGGAATTAATATTGGGTCTAAGTTGCAGTACAGCCTATGATTTATGGTTTCAGAAGCAACTCTTCATTTCAATATTCTTTAATTTTCTAGTTTTTCTTTTTGCTGTTGTCATGTTGCATAGCCAACATTTGAACGTGTGCTTTATTTTTCAGGGTGGAAAGTCCTACACTGGGCCATGTTCAGGAAGATACTGCAGCGGTGGGTGTGATTGCCTGCCAGAAAAAGGAGCCCGTGTGAGTAACAGTGTTGTTGCAAATCTAAAAAGCCTTTTCATCTGTCCTGACCCCCTTCTACCTATGGCCCTATATCACCTTCCACACCATTCCAGAGAACCCTCAATTCTTCTAGTGCTCTTTTAGGGGAGCTCAGGTAGAAGGGAAGACCAAATAAATCCAAGGAAGCCTGGCAACGAAAGGATTTCCCTGCGTAGCACTCTGGATCCAACACATTGTGTCAAGTGCAGACAGAATAATGCTATATGATGTGATTGAATTAATGTTATATAATACACATTCTTGCATCTCATTGCAGGGATATTTTCAGAAAACAACTGTTTAAATATTATTTGTAGAATATTCCACAGACCTCATTTTTCCCAATTTTGTGGAATCATATGAATAGCAATAAGCCTTCTCGTATTAGGTTTATTTAAAGCAGTTAGCATGCAAATATCTTTATCCAGTAAAATTGCTTTATGGATGTGTTGCGTTTATTTTTCAGAATTTTCAGATTTTCCCCAATTTCCCAGTATGAACACTTCAAAAGCTTACAAAGGCTGGAATCCTATTCATGTTTGTGTAAGGTTTGCATAACTTGTCCTGGCTAACTGACAAGGTGCTGAGGTGTATCTTGGTCATGAATCTGATTTTACAACCAAGAAGTGTCATGGGACGTCATCTGTTAGCTGAAATGAACCACAGTAATTTCTGCAAACATTATGCAGATATGAGTATCACCACTGGTCTAATTGAGCTTTCACATTCTAGTTCTTTTCCAAATCTAGAAACACTATTATGTCTGCATTTTGTCAGTAGTATTGTATAGTTTGAAAGAGAACACTTTAAAGATTTTGATGATCTTTGAAGTAATTTATCATTAAAATTGGCTGCAAAGTACTTCATTTTGTTGTCTTACTCCATCAAGATCTATTATTTCATTGTCACAGAAGCACTGCTTTGTTCTACATCCCAATAGACGCTTTACAAGTCCTACCAAATGACGACTGAAATTATTTTTTTTCCTCACTTTTGGCACTTAATTTTTTTGGGGGGGGGAATGTCATGTAAATGCATACAACAATTGCAACAAGTAAAAAGTGAGAAACAATAAGACAAAACTGTACAGTGATATAATTACAGTGTTTGAAAATGCTTCCTCCCTTTTTAGTTTTCAAATTCCTAGTAATATTATTGCAACTTATATTACTCTCAACTTAAAACAGAGCTTTTCTAATATGTTTACAATGCATCTTTTAGTTTATGCCAATATCCATAAGTATAATAAAAATTTACAAATTGTTGTATATCTTGAATTTTAATTGAATTTGGCATAAACTTTGACTTCTCATTTCTATCTAATACAGAGGTTCTTGACCTTTTTAGTGGTTGGCACTCCATTGAATATCAAAATACATTCTTGCACCCACTTGAAAAATATTTTCCAATTTATTTTTTTAGAAGATTACATTTATTGCAAAACAGTTTATTTACTGAAAAACAAATACACATATATATTGACACAAAATAAATGTCTCAATTTTTAGTGGCTAGTTTGATGTATGCCATCACTTGCATTTAAGTGATTTCTGGTTTTTGTTTTTATATGCAAAAGTGATAAAAATCCCATTTCACACATATAGGTGGTAGCAAATGGCAGTAGTGTGTGCAGTGCTGCCTTTGCCAGTTGTGAGATGATTCTAACTGAGCACACCGGAATTGTTCTAAGTGCAATTTTTCAAATTCCATTTGAATACATGTATTGGTCAAAATTACCACTTTCAACTCAGAGTATCCAATTTTTTGTTTTTCAATAATAACAGGTAATTTTTCAGTAGCTGTTATTATATTCTTACCATATCCTTGCATTGATATATTTAATTCATTTAGTGAGTATATCTGCTGAACAAGCCAGTCAAAGTGCTGCATATCTTCTTCCAAAGTTTTAACTAAATTACAACTTTGGTTAGTAAGAAACTGAATAATTTCCTCACACATTCCTGGTTAGCATATGTCCATTGGAGAGCTACCTTATTTCAGTGTGATAAAGAAGCACAATATGTTTGGCACGTTGCTTCTAAAAAAAGCACAAAAGACACAATGAATAAGCACCTGTCCTTGGATATAATTTATTACATTTACTGCAGTAGCTGAGGGTTGTTTTAAGTTCTCTGGCATAGTTTTCAATGCAAGTGCATCGTGGTACAACATACAATGTGTTATTGTACAGTACTTCTTTCTTCATATATACAAAAAAACTGGATTTTTTTGCCTAACATTGCAGGGTACCATCAGTGCCTATTACATCCATTGGTATTTGATGTTTTGAAAAAGTGTTTAATGAGATTGAAAACATCAGTTCCTTTTGCCATTAACTCCAGTTGCTCACAAAATAAAAATTCTTTCAAAATTTCCTTTTCCTTTATTTATTGCATAAATACGAATAGTTGGCTGCAATTATCAACATCAGTTTACTTGTCCAATTGAATGTTCACTTTCAGAGGACTGGCTTTAATATATTGTACTATATTATATATTACTATATGCAACTACTGTATTTATTTATTTCTTAACACTTTTAACTTTTTCCAATCCTAACCACCCCACTTTCCAAGTTCTTGTTTTCAGTCCTTCCCTAACTATTCCTCTTAACTCTTTCAATCTCTCTATATATCTCTGTCTCTTCTCCTCTCTAACTCCCCAACTGCCCTAACTGTCCCAAACTGTCTTTTTCCTCCCCTTAGTTCCGTTGGTTCCGCCCCTCCTGTCAAGTCATAGACTCCCACACCAGAGCTCTAACCTGACAGACAGGAGTGATGTGTGAGCTGTCCGTCACATACTATAACTCCCCCCTTGGAAAGTTTGTGTCATGGGGTAACACTTACAGTAGGTTACCCTTATGAACAACGAATGCAATTTCTTATTCATCTTTTCTTTAAAAATGTTTTCTAGTTTACCGTTTGTAATATATATACATATTCTATGATACATTTTAAATCATTTTAATGTTCTTACTTTATATTTAAATTACATTTATCATCATATAACATTTTTTCGTCATTCAAAACAAACAAACTTTACTTACTATATGCAATTTACATTTTTAATCATTTCTCATGTTACTACACTTTTATAACATTTAATTTGACCAGTTTTCATACCATTAAAGTTACATTTTAATACAGTCCTTTCTTTTTCATTCTTCAATCTTCTTGTCAAGTCATTGGCCACTACGTTTTGAGTCCCTTTTGATTTCAAAGTCAAATCTTGCACCAGTAATGCCCACCTCATCAATTTATTCATGTTGGTTTTGATAGTCCTTAACCCCAGCAGTGTCCTCAACAGTCTCTGCAATGACCAATCAAGGTCCATGCACTCCCATTCATTAATAGATGGATGCCGTTTTCTCACTTGCAGTTTCTCGTAGAGTACTGTCACTGGACAATGATTTGTTGTCTACTTGGCTCCGCCTGACGTTGAACATCTCTGTGTAGAGAGGGTGATCCTTGTCAGGTGCACTGTATACTGGACCCATCCTCTCCTCCTCTGTCAGTTGATTCCACGATTGCTGGTATTCAGGATTACCTCTGTTGGTCTCAGGCTCCTTCATCCGATTCCTCTTTGGTCGGCTCTCTGAAATAGGCTAGACGTTCCCTGCTTGACTTTTAGCAGTAAAACTAGTTTTCTTTTTAACACGGGGCTTCACTCTCTCAGTTAGGAACAATTTCCTCTCCTCCTCCTGTACATCTCTGGATTTTTCTTTATTTAAAAGGTCAAGGCTTACGCCTTTCTTCTCACCAATAAATTCACCCAGTTTCTTTCTAGGTGGGAAACCACTATACTGGGTCATTTTCAAATTTAAAGGCGAATTTCCTTGAAATGCAATCTTAACTCCTTGATTAATTTTGGATGTACAAATAGTCTCATCTAGTTCTATTTCTTTATTATTCAGTTTCTTATAAAAGGGTTTGTATTGCAGGGTTTCAAGGGCTTGTGCCGATACAGTGACCAAGCTTCTCAGACCTCCGGTTTAGTTGCACCAATTCCCTAGATACTGCCTCTGCTAACTGCAGTTTACATCCCTCTAAAGATTTCAGTTTCACAACCTCGCGATAATATGATGTTTCCTGACCCTCGTGTAAGTTTTTATCTTTGTCAGGAGTCATTTTAAAGCTACACTCTGTCATTACTAAGAACTTTTCTTTATTTACAAGATCTTTTTCCAGCCAGATTTTCTCAGGACTTTCACAGAACAATAGAGTAGGATTTATGGATACTTTTAAACCACCCAAGAAGTTAATATTCTCTTTTTGCTTCTGGTCAAAACTACTTTTATTTGGTTTTCTTGTAAGCATACAACCCTCTTCAGAACAGTTATTAATCTGACTCTCCAGGAAACTTTTTCCTCCCCAGCTTTCTTCGGTTGCTGTAATGGGTGCTTTCTGACTTCTTTGTGAGCGTATATATATGAACCCACCCTCAACATGTTTTATCCAGTTCCAACCACCTCTATCAACTACAGACCTCTCTAAGTGTTCATGGGTCATTGGATTGAGGCTCTTTTTTAATTTTACAATATAATTATTGCAACTATCATTTTTCTCCTTTCATCATTATTGGGCTTATCATTAGAGTTTTTCACTAAGTTTCCTTTAGCTATTCCTGCTTCTTCAGGTCTCATCTTTAACCCAGGGTATCCCTGTCTTTGGCAGTTGTTATAGCTTTGACAATATGATCTTACTTGTTTCTCCATCCCTGGCCAGTAAAATTTTTGAGCTATTCTTTGCTTTGTGCATGTGATTCCTAAATGAGCTGCAAAGGAGTCTGCATGTCCCTTTTCTATTATCTTCTCTCTATACTTAACAGGGATGATCAGTTGTTTATGGATACTTTCCCCTCCCCTTTTAGAGTTTATCAAAACCTCTCTATATAATAAGTCTCTGTCCACCACAAATCTTTCAGGGGATTCAGGGGTTACTGGTTCTTCTCTGGCCAGATTAAAACATTGCTTCGAAATA